GAGCTAACCAACAGATTCCAAATTGGTAACCATGTTCCCAAACTTGGCACATTAATGGCGGCAAACTCCAACCCGGATTAACTTTTAATACCGTTCCTGTTTGGAAAATGTGCTGAATGTTTGTTAATGATTGTATTAATTAACACCAACGTCGATACCAAATCAACCTGACATTTGAGATCGGGATTTAATTCGAGTATAAAATTGTCGTTCCTCTTGAATGCTGGGAAATCAGACTATCGAAAAACGATGTTTTCTTGTTTGTAATCACCCAATGATGCGCTATACAGTGCACTATACGTTAGGTTTAACGTATAAACAAAATCAAAATAAAACATTTTTCGTTAGTTATTTCCAGCTTCCAATTGGAACGACAATACCGGTTGATGGTTAAGCGAACCCCACACGTATCAATATATTGACGTGAAGGGGAATTATTGACAATAATATTGATGATGTGAATACAGAATTATTGTCAATACCGATGTATTGACTTCAATATAGAATGTATTGACAATACGATTATTGTCAATAAAAGCAAACGCTTAGGGTCCACTTTACCGCTATAAACATGTTTCAATTCGACAGATTGTACAAATACAACGTTGTGCGAATACAGCGCATTTTGTCTGACGTTAAGTTTTACATACATATCGAAAGAAAAATCAATTGGCCCTTGTCGGAATTTTCGGTTTTCTTCTTTACTATAAATTGTATTGGTACAAAAATAATTCATTTTTTATAAAACCGCTTTAAAGCAGCCAAGCTGTACTTGTACCTGTCTTGAAACTGGTATAATGCAACGAATATTTTCCGTGTAAAAAGCTTACTTTCCACCGCCAGGTGGTACTCTAAAGTACATCGATTTTTTTACATTTCGAAGCAGAGATAAGCTTCCTTTCTTTGCTACGGTGCTAAGATTGGCCCGCACTTTACGTAGAAACTTGTGTTTATTTTCGTTTTAAAGTTATTTATTTTTTTTTTAAATTTTCAAGTTTTGGGTTTTTGCTCAATACTTATATGATCTTTGATTTGACTCATTGGTGGTGGAGATTCGCACGACTCGCGGAATAGGTCAGATGATAAGATTTGCATTTATTAAAGATTTTGAAAAGCTAAGAAGGCAAAATTGTGTTGACAAAATCTAACGGGTAATGCCGATATAAATATATATATATATATATATATATACACACATTAAATGCAAAAGGGAGGGATGGGACCACCAGGGCACCGGATTGAAGCGATTTGGATGGGGAGAGTGGAATTGCCAAGTCCCTGTCATTAACATTTCGTGAATTGACGGCGGGCTCTTCTCCCCACTCATTGGGACGTTCCCTCGTATGATGGCTTGTTCTACATCGGGTTGTAGGATTTTATCATTGGAAGGCGATTCTCCTGATCCCGCGGATTGCGTGTAAGTGTATCTGCTTACGGGTCCGCCCCTCCGTTTTTGGCCCTTCTTACAATGGTAAATTGAATACAACCAGATATCGTACTTGATCAAGTCATACTTGGAGGATGATCCACTGTCTAATGGCTGTGCCTTGCAACAATGAGTGGTATCCTTTACATACATACATACAATACTTATATGATCTTTGAAATCGGTCCAGTGCACTATGGGCAAAAATGGGTCAAAAATTACCCAAAATTCAATATCTCAACAGCACGCTGAATTCCGGCCATGAAAAACGACTTTTCCGAAAGGAAATTGTCCGGGGAATCGATTGCACGTGGTCTCATAGACCGGAGAGCCTTGTAGGTATGTGTTTTGGACCATTTTACCCCATTTTCCCCTACTTTTTGGAGGAAATGTTTTTTCACAGCTCTATTTTTCGTAAAACATAAGCTTTTTATGCATGGTTTTAGAATACAATGTCATTAAACAACAGTTCATGAGATATTAGGGGAATACGGGGTACACTTTATAGGGGAGTAAGGGGTATAAGTGAAAATACAATCAATGGTTTTTAGTACAAAATCAATTTTTTGTAATATCATAATATTTTTTTCTGAAAAAAAAACTTCAATTAACTTTCATTTGATATTTTGAGATCCGTCATCGGTCAAACAGTTCAAAAGTTATAAATTTAAAAAAAAATCGAAAAAAAATTTTTTTTTGGCCGTTCTAATATATAAATAGTCACCCTAATGACAAAATAAAAAATACGGGTCTAATATGTTGCGATAAGGAACAAAACTACCATTCTGAGAACCACTATATCGTTTTGCTGTATACAGACAAAAAAGTGAAAACTCTTTTTAAACAGATAGCAGTAAATTAAAACTTATTTAACCCCAATTAACCTTAAAATTTCGAAAAAAAAATCTTATTATTGCAGGCAACCTTTGGGGTCATTCAAACAATCGCATCGTTCAACATTTTTATGAATTAAAATAAATTTAGCGAGGGTTCACTTTCACCCCTTACTCCCCTTTAAAGTGTACCCCTATTCCCCTAATATTTCATGCACTGTTGTTTAAAGACATAGTATTCTAAAACCACGCATAAAGTGCTTATGTTTTACGAAAAATAGAGCTGTGAAAAAACATTTCCTCCAAAAAGTAGGGGGAAATGGGGTAAAATGTTCCAAAACACATACCTACAAACCTCTCCGGTCTATGGGACCACGTGCAATCGATTCCCCGGACGATTTCCCTTCGGAAAAGTCGTTTTTCATGGCCGGAATTCAGCGTGCTGTTGAGATATTGAATTTTGGGTAATTTTGGACCCATTTTTGCCCATAGTGCAGTGGTTTAAAAGTTATGAATTTTTGAAAAAAGTAATTAAAAAAAAATCGTTTTTTGGATCACCCTAACATGGAAATGGTCACCCTAATGACAAAAAAATACGGGTCTAATATTTTATGATAAAGAACCAAACTACAGTTTTTTTTTTTGCGAGATTCTGAGAACCCCTATATCGTTTTGCTATGGAATGGCTGTATATTCAATATATTAAATATATTAAAAAATGTCAAAGACGGCTTTTTTAAAAAATAATAAGATGGCCGAATTTTAGAATGTGAACGAACATTTATGCACAGTTTCATACAAATCGGAGAAGGTCGAGTTTTTCCGATTCGTCTTTTGGCGTGGAACTGCTCAACGCGAACATGGTGAATAATGAACAAAACGACGGCTTTTGATTCTTTGAAAAAAAAAATCCAAATGTGGTTCAACTTTCTTGATCCTAATAAGATTTTAAATTCAGGTAAATTCAACATAAACTTTTACAATCGTATGACCAAGTTGTCTGAATTTCTAATCTTGAATCGATCTAATGGGTAGTGCTACATAACCCTGAATGCCACTTCCCCGAATGAGTGGGAAGCGGGGAAGTGACATTCACGGTAATGTAGCACAATCATTTGGGAGAAAAGGTGCAAATCAATCCAAATCTTCCGAGCATCGTAAAATTGAACAATTGTCAATGAAAATTTGCTAGATTAATAGACGTTAATTTAAGTTGACAAACATCTACATTTTGATGATAACGAACGATTTGGTTGACGTTTTCTTTAATTCACGCCTATTATAGTTCACTTGTTTGCTAACTATAATCGTCTAAAGAAAAATCCTGGTTGTGTACCACCGAGTAAAATTTTTGCCTTATATACGAATAAAGACATTTAATTTTTTGGATTGTTTTTTTAATTGCTTCAGGCGAAAATCTCCCGTTCAAGAAAACAAGGGAAAAATCCCAACGAAGAGCAACTTCCCCTTGGGGAACCACAGTTAACTGTAACTATGGTTCCCCATGGGAAAGTTGCTCCTCGTTGCATAACTTCATCCATTCAATTAATTACTCCTCACAACGGAAATCTTGACCTCGATATATCGATCCAAGTTTCGATTTCTGAAGTTCAGACTTCGGATGTCCGGTGTCGGTTAACTTGTCCACTTGCCTGCCTGCCTGCCTGTTAAATACGTACACTTGGGTATATAATGTGATATTGGGGGGTGCCTTTTCCCCGCGATATCCTTCGGGTGCCAGTTTCGTGTGACGACGACAGTCGTAATAGGTTTATCATAGCTTGGCGGAATTTGTCCCTGCAGAACGCCTAGAAGAGGGAGGAACACGTTGTCCGCTAACGACGGACGGACCACACATTTGGATGGTCTTGTGTGGATGGCATAATCTAATTATACTGAAAGGGAAATGCTCAAGCTCTAGAAGCTTCAATCGAGGTAACCTACTCACGTTTTTCCGTTTCTTCCGTGGATGGAAAAAAAATGGAGGACACAAGATTGGGAAATTGGGTGAGGAGGTGGAAGTGGTTGGAAAACTACCTGTGAAGAAACCTCACGAAAGTCAGGTGACTGCTAGTCGCGATGAAAATCTGGCGTGACGTACGTACGGTTACCAGGGCTAAAATGGGGAGTTGGATTGGGCACTTTTTGGCTTCGGAGACGGCTGGGCCTGGATGTGACCCTGGACGGGGTCGAATCGATCCATTGATTAGGATACCAGAAGCCTATAAAAGAGTGCAACAACCGACGACAGCTTTTAGTCTGGTTACTGTGGTTCCTAGATCCTGACAATTGCTGGTGGTTGGTCTCGGTCTGCCTGTGTGTGGTTGGTAGTATGGATCCTTGAAGTGATTTTCCACTACTGGGAGATCAGTTCGAGGATCGAGGATGTCGGACAAGTGAGTGTATGCGCGCTGCTGAGACGAGCGAGGAAGGGAGGTAGGTGGCAAATGGATGATCATCGCCTCAACTGCAACTGTGTAGGACAAAACTGGTTGCGAGTTTAGTGTTCGCGTGACCAGCACCGAGCGTGATCATCATAGTGCGGAGTGTGTTTGTGGGGGAGGAGTGATCTCACTGCACGCGCGATCTTACGACTTACGATGGGAACGAACGGAGATCGATGATAGTGGAATTCTAAAAAATAGCAATCATCCGTTGATAGTGAACAAGTGATCTTTAACTGACGAAGATTTTTCCATATTTTTTCATTTTCTTCCCGGCCCCTGTCGTCGCAAATGAAGTGAACGGATGAGAAGATTTGAGGCAGAATTTGTCGTTTGTCGAAATCAGAATTAACGTGAAAAAATAGTACATAAAACAGTGATATATGATCAGCGGAACAGGCCGTTGCGGCAAAGTTCAGTGGAATAACAGCAGCAGCCGTCGCCACCAGCAGCACCGCCGCCATCGTTGCCGTCGCCAGGAGCAGGAGCAGGCGAAACTTCGGATAACCAGAACCAGGACCGTTGTTAGCCGGTCCGTCTCCGCCTTCGCCAGTTGCCACAGTGGCGGTCGCAGTCGTTGCAGCTTATAACGACCGCATCCGCTAGACGAGCGACGACAACGACTTAGCGCGATCATCGTTCGTTTTCTTCGTCCTTTGTCACACTCACAGTCTAAGTCCCGTCTAAGTCTTTTGTTTCCTCATCGTTCCTCGTTTTAACTTGTTTAATCAACTACATCTGCCCTGCATGCGTGGCTAATTTCTGTCCTTCTGAGTTTCGCTGCTTAATTTGATTTGAGCCTGGAAGAAACCACCCACGAAAAGCAAAAAAAAAAGAAAGGCGTGCGGGGTGTCATTGCAGGGTGTGCCGGCCAAGGAATATCGTGTGAAGCAACCGAGTAAGCCGAAAGAAGTAATAATCAAATTATTCAGTGTTCAGCCCCGGTGGTGGTTCTCCGGTGTGCGCTGTGGTAGTTATTTGTGATAATACAAAAACACGGGACAGTCGCGCTCCGAACGTGAGTCCGGTGCGGTACCCATTCCCGTTCGGACGACGACCAACGGCGCAGACCAGCAGCAGGAGCAGGAGCCAAGATCTCCCGGCAACGATCGCCGTCAAAGTGTGACCACCCTCACACTCAACTCAACACACGACACATCCAACCATGGAGTGCTGTCTGTCCGAGGAGGCCAAAGAGCAGAAGCGTATCAATCAGGAGATTGAGCGGCAGCTGCGACGAGACAAGCGAGATGCCAGACGAGAGCTGAAGCTATTACTATTAGGTAAGTGGCTTGTTTTCTCTATTGAAATTGGTAATTTATAAAAAAAAACGCAACTCGCGGTAGTTGAATGCCTTTCGATTCGTTGGAAGATGTTGTAATTGGTTCGATCTGATTAGCATTGATACGGGTGGTAGTGGAATGGCTGCATTTGTCACTTTCTATCTTTCCATCACGATGCAAGTTGATCTTCCTAAACTACGAACTAGGGATTTTGAAGCAGGTAATTAAATAATTCTTAACTGTGTAATGGATGATTTGATTACCTGAAAGGCCAGGTAAATTAACTGGAACATAATACAATACATTTTCGTAGTATGTTGGTAATTGAAATTGTCAGAGTAGACATACCGTAAGGATATTCGCCGTAAGTGTCATGACAATTTTTTTTTTAACTAAATACAAGTTTTGTGATCGTGAAGTGGTTCAATGACAGCGACTGAAATACAAGGATACGGCAGTGTAAAAATGAAAATAGTTAATTTTGATGACGATACGAATCAAACGACCATTTCTTTCGCAAGCTACCGATCAAAAGATCATGTGAGGACTCTACTACCGGTAAAAGAAATGGCATTCGATTTACTCATACATCTAACTCTCGTATGATTTATTGCTCACCATAAGCTCCTCAGTGCAATGGAGTAATTTAAAACCAATAACGTGAAATTCAATTCCGGACTTTTTGATGAAATTTAACGTTTTGAAACTTGTAGAAAAATATCGCTGTCGTGAGTGTCAAAGTGATGGGTTAAATTAAGGATTTAATAATTTCACTGTTACTTGATTTCAAAATGTGAGTTTTACGATGACAGTTTTATCAAATTAACCCAGTGTTCAAAATCATTAGGTCTTAATCCGGCACGAATGCTAAAATCATGGTAAAGTGTCGTTAATAAATAATAATAACACGGTGTCTTGGAAAGAAGAAAACCATACTTTGAGAAATAAAACAGTGTTCCAGAAACACCCACCAATCAAAAGCTTAGGTACCGTAAAACGGGGTATCTTTGATAATGCGGGTAGCTTTGATAGTATAATGTAAAGATTAAATTTAGTCGCTGCGCTTTTTCCAAACTAGAAACATTGGTTCGATATTGTAGCTTAGGGTATTTCCGTTGATTTCATATACAGTTTTTATATAGTATGTGTTACATATTTTACAAACATATTAAAATACAATTTTCGTGTTTTCGCCTGTTTGAAAAAGCACTCAAACAATTTTTCGCAAATGTAATCGAACTTTTTTATTTAATTAAGTTCCAGTGCAATAAAATTGATGAAATTTTGGATTTCGGTTCCATTATATATTTTAGGTAAATACATAATGGAACCGAAATCCAACATTTCATCCCCTAAACAATCCAATTTAATTAATGTAGATCCATATTTGGTTTCCTGATTTTTAGTGTAAATCATGTCCAAAAAAATGTTTAAGTCCAAAAAATGACATCCGATAGAATGCTATAGAACTCAGGGCTGCTACCAGCCCTGGTCACTATTTTGAAGCCAGTCACTAAAAAGTCACTTTTTACACCAACAGTCACTATTTGCCTAGAACTAAAATAGAGTGAAATTTAAAAATATCGACAAAATGATTGAGTACTTGGCACTAAGAAAGTCTACACTAATTTTAACAAAACATACATATCTGTTAAAAATTAAAAAATTTAACTAGGGTGACCAGTGAACCGCAAAACTTTAGAACACCAGGAAAACTATTGGGAAATGCCTACAATTTCGATTAAAAATCGGGGAAAATAAACCTCCTTTCCCAGAAAATAAATTGTAAACCTTGGAAACTTTCCAAAGGTATTTGTTTGTGATAGATTTTCAAAAGTCTTTCAATGATGATTAAGAACTTTAAAAAATCCAAAGTAAGTTTTAAGAGAATATTAAAGGATTCTAGGGATGACACCAATATATATCAGAGAAGAATACCGAAGTACAGACTACGAAAGTCTCATGTAAAATTAAGTGCTCTGAGGACCGATTTCTTAATTCGCTTAAATCTTAAGCCAGGTGTTCCTATATAGTTAAACTTGGCTTGGTCGCTTTTGATTATTGTTTAAATTATTAGAGACACAAAATTCAGCTCCGAAACAATATTGGAAATAATTCTAATATAATTGAGAGTGCATTTTAACGAGAGTTCTGAGAAGAATTCTATGATAATTAGATGAGGATTCTAGGTCCAATTCTAATAAGAACTCAAAATTAGTTCTGAAATGTTGCCTCTGACGAAAATTCAATGAAATTCCTGTGAACCCCAACGATGGTCTCTGCGGATAGTTCTAAAAAAATTCTGGATGGATTTCTGACGATACTTCCAAGAGAATTCTAAATTCCGAGAAGAATTCCAATGGAATTGAATTTTGAGGGTTCAATCTCGAAGGAATTCTGAGAAGAGTTACAAAGTTTGTGATGGATTTTTGTTTTGAGAAGTCTGAGGAAATACCATGGGGATTCTAAGGAGAATACGAATTGAATTTCCAATTGAATGCAAGGGAGAAGTCCAAGATTATTCTAAGCAGAAATTTATGAAACTTCTGAGGTTAATTGCATGGAAATTCTAAGGATGGATTTATGGAAGGAGCCATCAGCCAAATAATCTACTTTAACTAATCATGTGTTATTACTTCATGCGTGAATTTAACGATTTACATAGTCGGAGATGCTTAACGTCAAATATCAGACTTATAGTGGAGATTGTATACGATAGATGAGGAGATTCAATTATAGAGTTGATAGTTCCGTTATAGTACGACAGTGTAAATATTGCATTTAAAAAGTAAAAAGCGAGCAAATGAAAATTTTGAGGAACGTACGAATCAGGTAGGGGAAATGACGGCTTCGGCATGACATACTATTTTCGGCAACCCAAATTGAAACACTATTTTCACTGGATTTTCTTACGAAAACACTTCGCTGAATGCATGCAAACGATTCTTTATGATTTCAGCTTCAATTTTACTATATTTTTACCACTGAGAAAAATCAATCTAGCAGGGTTTTCTTGAAATGAAACACACGCACTACAAATTGTAGCTGATTTCGAGTTGCCGATAATAGAACAGCAGATTTACATGCAGTTCAAATGGAACGGTTGCCGAAGAAAAACTGGTTGCCGACAATACTCGCTCTCACTAGAGAAGATTGGAGCTTTGTAAAAGCGTTTCAAAACAGTTTTCGACATTTCTTTCGACTGAAATTGTTAGAGCAGCTGGCAGCAAAAGATTGTAAACAAACCAATACTGCATATGTGTGCGTTCCATAGAGAAAAAGGCTATAGAAAGAAGGTCGCTGCTTAGGTTGCCGAGAATACGTAAATTCCCCTAGTTGTTTACGTCAGACGGCGACTTGAGTGTGAAACAATCGATAGAACTGTTTCCGCACATCGGAGGTACATGAGCAAATCGGCGATCATCCCTTTTGCCAATGGTAGACAGGGGGAAACACCCCTCACCATCGCTCATTAACGGATGAGCTTGGCAAAGGAGATGCTTTACCCTATTCGTACCTTCCTCAAAATTGTCATTTCTTCGCTTTCTACTTTCTATATACAAATTTCACACTGCCGTACTATAGTGGAACTGTCAACTCTTTACTATCATCTCCTCATCTATCGTATAAAAGTCCACATTAATTCTGATATTTGATGTTAAGCATTTCCAACTACGAAAATAATCTATTTCCATGAATTTTGTTGATTGTTCTGCAAAGAATTTCAAGAATGCAATATTATTTTTGTAAAAGCTTATTTGCCTCTAAGTTTAGGAGAAGGGGAAATATTCTAAAAGTGTTCTTGAGATCATTCTGAAGCAATTCTGTAAAAAATTCACAGCAAATTATCAAAGTTGTCTACATTACTTACCTTACCAATCAGGGTAAGGCCTTGTTGTCCTCTGCTGTCTGAAGAAGTCGTCTCCACTCTACTCGATCCATGGCCACAGTTCGCCAGCCTCGTAGTCTGCGAAGGGTCCGCAGGTCGCCTTCTACTTGGTCGATCCACCTTGCCCGCTGCGCGCCTCTTCTTCTTGTTCCTGCTGGGTCGCTTTCTAGAACCATTTTCACTGGGTCGGCGTGCGGCATTCTTACGACGTGCCCAGCCCACCGTAGTCGCCCAATTTTTGCAATGTGGACGATGGATGGTTCTCCCAGCAGCTGGTGTAATTCGTGGTTCATTCGCCTCCTCCAAGTTCCGTCATCCATCTGCACTCCACCGTAGATGGTATGTAACACCTTTCGTTCGAAAACACCAAGGGCGCATTGGTCCTCCACGAGCATAGTCCAGGTCTCGTGGCCGTAGAGGACCACCAGTCTAATCAGTCTTGTAGACAGTCAATTTCGTGCGGCGGCAAATTTTATTCGATCGGAGCGTCCTCCGGAGTCCAAAGTAGGCACGATTCCCTGCCATAATGCGTCTTTGAATTTCTCTGCTGGTATCATTTTCGGCGGTCACCCAAATACACGAACTCATCGACCACCTCGATTTCGTCACCGTCAACATGAACTCGGGGTGGGAGGTTAACATGGTCTTCCCTAGAACCTCTTCCTTTCATGTATTTTGTCTTTGATGCGTTGATGGCAAGTCCAATCCGCCTAGCTCCAGCCTTCAGTCTGATGTACCTTTCCGCCATCGTCTCAAAGTTCCGTGCCATGATGTCAATGTCATCGGCGAAGCCAAGAAGCTGGATGGACTTCCTGACGATCGTGCCACTCGTGTCCCAGCTCTTCTGATCACACCTTCTAACGCGATGTTGAATAGCAGACACGAAAGTCCATCACCTTGCCGTAACCCCCTTCGAGATTCAAAGGGACTCGAGAGTGTCCCCGATACTCGAACAACGCACGTCACTCGATCCATCGTCGCCTTGACCAATCGCGTCAGTTTATCCGGAAATCCGTACTCGTGCATAATCTGCCTTAGCTGATCTCGATCGATTGTGTCGTATGCGGATTTGAAATCGATGAACAAATGCTGTGTGGGCACGTTGTATTCG